TTTTTTTTTTTGAGATGGAGTTTCGCTCTTGTTACCCAGGCTGGAGTGCAATAGCGCGATCTCAGCTCACCGCAACCTGAAGGAGGAGTTTTGACAAGAGATTACGGTAGAAAAATACATCATGTGAAGGGGAAAGCATGAACAAAGAATTAAGGGGGTAAAAACCTGAAGACTGCCTGGCGCAGTGGTTCAGCCTGTAATCCCAGAACTTTAGGAGGCTGAGGTGGGTGGATCACGAGGTCAAGAGATCAAGACCATCCTGGCCAACATGGTGAAACCCCGTCTTTACTAAAAATACAAAAATTAGCTGGGCATGGTGGCATGCGGCTGTGGTCCCAGCTACTCGGGAGGCTGAGGCGGAAGAATCTCTTGAACCCAGGAGGCGGAGGTTGCGGTGAGCTGAGATTGCACCACTGCACTCCAGCCTGGCGACTGAGCAAGACTCCATCTCAAAAAAAACCAAAACAAACAAACAAAAAAAAACACACAACACCTGAAGACTTCAGAGAAGCACTAATAGGTTGGAGATTAGGGTCCCTGGGACATATATGAATAAAGTTGGAAAGTAACAAAGCTGTCCATGAAGCTAGAAGGTAAGTTAAGGCCAGAGGGTTTGCATGCCTTGAATGTGCAGTCTTAAAGGGCTTAGAATTCTCCAAGAAGCAAAGAACCACTGCACGTTTTTGAATATACATTTTGGAGAGACAGCTCCCCTTTTCAGAGCAGCCAAATACCCCCAGAGCAGGTGCCTGGCCCAGCCATCCTGTCTCATCAGAAGAACAAGGAATGTGGACACCACTGAACAGGGAAACGAGGGCGGGCAGGCAGGCAGGGAGAAGTACTAGTGAGTTACACCGTTATAAATACACTTTAGGGCCGTGTGACTTGGCCATAAATCGCCGCACTGTGCTCAGGTGATGTCACCCGACGCTCGGCTGTATTTATAGCTTTGTTCACTGTTCTCTGGGATTTTTTTTCTTGGCACATTCGCGGTAATAAGTGTCTCCCCCCACACACTCATCCTGAACAACAGAAGATAAACTTTTATGCCACTTCTGCTCGTCTTCTCCCAGCTCCTTGGAAGGATGATTTCCTGGACTTATCAAATGCCTGCTTAGCTGGGAATAGCCTCCTGCTGTTCACTGCTAGCCCCTTGGCTTTGTACACTGTAAAATGGCGCTCAGCCTCCTCGCCACTCCAGGAAATCCTTTGTGGAACTCAGAATCAAAAACATCTCCCTTTTTGCCAGGCACGCTGGTAACAGCAGTCAACACCACGAGTACATGCTCTACCTGCACAGGGCTTGTGACCTGGCATGGGAAACAGAAACTGATTACTTAATTAGAAGCGTGTTGAATGTTACCGGTGGAAATAGACGGTGCTTGAAGGCAATAACAAGGTGATCTAACTGGTCTGAGGAATTAGAAAGGCTTCTATGGAGACGTGGTGTTTAGTGTGAGGTCTGAGGGATGAGTAGGACTTAGTTTAGGGGGCGAGGTTGGGGTAGAGCCCCAGGTAGAAAAGAACATTTCAGGCAAGGGACCACATGTGCTGAGACCCTAAACAATGAGAGAAATAGGGCCAGTCCCCAGAACTTAGAGAAGCCTGGTGGAGTTGGAGTATAAAGGGCAAGAAGGGGAGTGGAGGGCAGTGGGGTGGGGAGGGAAGGCAGACGTACCCCAGGCAGGCTCTGGGAACCAACGGGCAGGTGCCATATCAGATCCTAAGGGAAATGGGAGCCCCAGTGAGTTTTAAGCAGGGGAATAACGTGGTGAGATTTGATCTTGAGAAAAATTACTGGGCCTGGGCTTATGCAGAGAGGCCTTGCTGATGTCGAGACAGGAGAGAATATACAAGGAGCAGGGTGGTGACAGTGACGATGGAAGAAAACAGACCACTATCTGGGCAAAAAACAATCTACGGGATTTGGAGACTGACCGAATATGAATGGGGATGGAGAGAGTGTGTTCTCATGGATGTCTGGTCTCAGCAGGAGAGTGGAGGTTGATGCCGTTCTCGAAAGAGGACTGCTGAAGGAGTAGCCAGCGTCTGTTGTTGTTCTGTTTTGTTTTTTGCTTGGAGGACAACATATTCCTCTGAATTTGCTTTTCTCTGGATCTGTTCCCCAAGCCTAGACGAGGGCTTTGCATGAGCAGGACCTACAGATGGGGAAGCATTGAGGCCCAGGTCTAAAGGCTAGTAGGAGAGGAGAACTGCCAATGCCTGGAAGAGAGGACTTGGTACCAGGACCTGTTTGCTGGCTGTGTCTTGGAGGCTGGAATAGAAGCACTGGGGAGATAGTAAACCAGCATTCTCCATCTGTCCATTTAGGAAATGCCACCTGAGCCAGCAGCCAGACCCTGTCTGGCAGGTACCACGAGGCCTGTTCCCTGGCACAGAAGCCGGAAAGCCAGTGGAAGTAGACAGGACTTCTACTGTCCTGGAGTGTGGCGGTCACAGGTAGGAAGGCACCAAATCAGGTGAAAGGAGTGAGAGTCAGAACATTGGTCCCCAGGTCGGGCGTGGTGGCTCACGCCTGTAATCCAAGCACTTTGGAGGCCAAGGTGGGCGGATCACCTGAGGTC